ATGGCTGGGTCCAGTGGGAATGGCTGGGCCCCACGGGGATGGCTGGGTCCAGTGGGGATGGCTGGGTCCAGTGGGAATGGCTGGGCCCCACGGGGATGGCTGGGTCCAGTGGGACCTGTGGGCTGTGGGGCTGGGAAGCCAGGCCTCGTCCCACGCTGTGCTGCCCTTCCAGCTGGACGTGGTGATCGCGGATCTGGACGGTGGGACCGTGAACGTTCCCGAGTGTGTCCACATCTCCCTGCTGCCCGAGCCCCTGCTCCAGCAGACCCGGGAAGCCCTTTCCATGGTAAGTGCTGCGGCATTCCCTCCATCCCTGAGGTGCCAAAACCCTGGGAATGACACACGTGTCCAGGGAGCTGGGAATGGAGCTGGGGCTCCTCTGAGAGCAGGGTCCACTCCTTGGGCTCCTCCTGATCCTGTCACAGGGACCATTCCCAATCCCCATCCGATGGCCTCTGATGCACGGCAGTGCCAGAGGGGGTTCCTCTGCCAAAGGTTTCTGGGAATGGGAAGGCTGGCTCCCAGCCCGTGGGCAGGAAGCAGCTGTGGCCCTGCAGCCCTTCTGGCTGTTCCTGTGTTCCCCCTGTGTGCCCAGGGCACTGTGCCCTGCCAACGCTGCAGCTCCGGCTCCTGGGCCGGGGGCACCAGGGGGGAGGGTCTCCCTGGCAGAGCCGGAGGGGCTCCCCCTTCCCTGGGAGCCCCACTCTGCCAGCAGTGCTTCCCAAGGAAGGGTCAGGCCGTGAGGCTTCCCGTGCCTCATCCCTGGTGGTTTGTCTCCAAACCCCTCAGTGCTTTTCCAGGGGGACTGTGGGGTCTCTGGGGAACACTCCTTGGCTTTTCCGGCCGGGAAAGAAGCTGTGTGTGTTCCCTGGGCAGGTCCTGGACCCGGAGCTGGAGGTGGCTGATCTCGCCTTCCTCCCTTCCACCATTTCCGCCTCTTCCCTCAAGATGCAGGTGAGTGGAGCGGGGACCCCTCGTGGGGAGGCCATTCCTGATGGACACCCCATGTCCCGGGCACCATTCCAGGCCTGTCTCCATCTCGGTGTCACTGGCACTGCCCGGGCACCGAGGGCACTGCTCCGAGCCCTGGTTGGAGCCTGCAGTGCCCGTGGGTTCGTGGCTGGGCTGGAGGCAGACGTGGAATGTTTGGGCCCTTCAGCAAATCCTGGGGCTGTGAGAGCTCCTTCTCCTCCCTGTGCAGCACTGGGGGGGCAGAGCAGTGAATCCAGGCTGCTGTGCCCCTTTTTCCCTGGAATCTCTGCCGTGTCTCCTGCCCTGACCCAATGGCTTGATCCCCTCCCCTCGGCCCTGGGGGGAAACTCCTGCCCCGGGAGCTGCCTCATCCACACCCTGTCCCACCTCGCCGTGACCACTCCACGAGCAGGGCGTCCTTCCCTTTCCCAGGACAAGGAGATCCGAGCCGTGTTCCTGCGCCTGTTTGCACAGCTGCTGCAGGGCTACCGCTGGTGCCTGCACATCATCCGCATCCACCCCGAGCCCGTCATCCGCTTCCACAAGGTGTGTGCGGGGCCTGTGCCAGGGGCAGGGCTGGCATGAGTTGGGCTGTGACAGCTGAATCCAAAAAACAATTCCGGGTTTCCAGCCGGTGACCTCCCCGACATCCCTCCCGGGCCCACCTGCATCCCGTGTTTGTCCTTGAGCGTCCCGAGGTCTCTTGGATCGGGCAGCGCTTCCCTGGTCGTGCCCCAGAGTGCTCGGATGCTCCACGACCGTGTCCCTGCTCCTGCAGCCAGGGCAGCTCCGAGGCTCAGGGAGGAGGGAGCCCAGGCCTGGAGCTGGGGTTTTATTGAGACCTTGGCACTGAGGAGAGGCCCCCCTGGAATCCCAGGGGCAGTTCTGGACCCTCAGACAGGAGAGACCTGGAGGGGCTGGAGCGCGTGCAGAGAAGGGAAGGGAGCTGGGAAGGGTCTGGAGCAGCAGGAGGGGCTGAGGGAGCTGGGGGGGCTCATCCTGGAGCAAAGGAGGCTCAGGGGGGACCTTCTGGCTCTGCAAGTCCCTGCCAGGAGGGGGGAGCCGGGGGGGGGTCGGGCTCTGCTGCCAGGGAACAAGGGACAGGCCAAGGGGAAACGGCCTCAGGCTGGGCCAGGGGAGGGTCAGGTTGGACACCAGGAGGAATTTCCTCATGGAAAGGGTGGTGAGGCCTTGGCAGGGACT